GATGTTTGATGGATTTCTAGCTTAGGCATTAAAAGAAAAGTTTTAAAACAGAAAAATCATTTATAAAAGGAAGAGAGTACTTTTTACAAAAGTTCAAAGCTTGTGTTATTTTTGCTATCACTACATATGGTCAACCTGCAAAAGATTGGAGTTTACTGTTTTGTGAGTGATATTCCTTTTCCTTTCACGCATGTGGTTTGTTCATGGGAATTTAAATCGTACCTTGATTTAAGTTTGCTGATCTCTTTTACATGAAGGCTATGTAAAAGTTTAAAGTAAGTGTTTATTTGCATTTGTTGATTTGATGGATTTACGTCTCTCTTCTACTTGATTGTCAAAGAGGTTCTAGGATTCAATCGTTATCATCCATGAGTTCTAGGTAAAATGTAGCTTATTGTTTAGGAAATAAAAACTTTAGGAAGTCTTAAAAAACCCAATGACTCTTAAAGCTGCGACAAGAAGCTTTTAAATCAGACCTCATCCTTTCATGCTCACCGTTTCTTTGTTTTTCGCATATAGTCTGTTATCTTCATAAATAAAGGTGCTTGCAACATACAATGTGTATTGTTACATTGTTTCATAAAATTAAATGTTTCAAACATGGCGTGGTCTATGGGTCTACTTGTAAGAAATTTCAAATGACAGTTTTCTTTCTTTTTACTCAGGTTGGAGGTCACTGATAGGTTGGGTTATATAATTTTCCTTTGTATGCACAAGCTATGCGTCATATACCTTGTACTTTTGTGTTCTATTGTGAAAGGTTTTTTTTTTTTTTTTTTTTTAAAAAGAATCAAAGAGCTTCAAAACTAGAAACCAGAAGGCCTAGAAACTAAAATATGTAATAAAATGGGTCTTCAAAACATGGGTAGCAGCGCATACAATTTTAGAGATTGTCAGAGCTCCATTTTCTTATATTTTATGACTTTAGATGAAAATAGAAAGTTGCAAGGGGTAACATTAGTTTCAAACTAGGTGATAAGGAATCCTAGGTGTTATTTAGAGTTTTTTTTTTTTTTAATAAACAAGAGCTACAATATATGCCAAAATTTTGCTTGTTCTCCATAAGGCCAATCTTCTTGCATAATTTATATAATGTAAGTCTAGACACATTTCCCTTATATTGTGCAAGCTCAATTACAATTTAAATTTCATGTTATATATATATATATATATATATCTTTTTTGTGGATGGATTTTTATGCCTTTCGTAATCTTTATGCAATCTACAATTTTATGTTTCAATTTATTTTTAGAATAATTTATTTTCTATATGCCTTAGATTTATACTGAACACAATAATCGCATTAATAATAACACAAATTAAAATTTTTAAGGATGAGATTTTAAGAAAGTCTAAATAGTTATTTCTTAAAATCTCTAGGTAAGAATATTTTTCTAAAAAAAAAATACTACTAAAGTAATGGACTATTTAGGAAAATATTCAAGACACAAAATTTTCATTCTTTTTATCTTCCTAAAATTATCTTTTTAGTTAAATGATTTTATAGAAAAAAAAAAAAAGAAAGGAGAAGGAGGGAATAATGAAAAAGGAAAATTACTCTTCTTAATAATGAAATTAATATAACAATACATGAAGGCTATTAACTATTTTTACTTTTCAAAAAATATTAATCATTAACAATAATAGAAATTAAAAATTTTAGGATAAAAAAATAAAAAAATAATTAAATAAGAAAGAAAAAAAGTAAATGAAATTTTCAAGGATGAAATTATAAGAAAATTCGAGTAAAGATTCTTAAAAAATCCTTAGGTGAGAAAATTCTTCTAAAAATACCATCAAAGTATCGGGATATCTAAAAAGTTTTCAATAAAAATACTTTCTTTACTTTGTTTTTAAAAAAATTATTAATAATTGTGAAATAATTAAGAGTAGCAAAAAATATAATATAAAGAAAATGAATAATATATATATATATATATTTCATGTGCATATTCTACTTTATTGTTTTGCATTATATAATTTTAAATATATGATAAAATTTCGATGATGAGATTTCGAAAAATCAGAGTAGAGATTTCCAAGAGTTCACTAGGTAAGAAAAGTTTTCTAAAAATTACCAACATATTGTGATATTCAGAAGTTTCTTTTCGATACGAAAATTTTCATTTAATTATTATTTTCTTTAATTTGAGTAGTTTTTTTAATAATATAAAAATATTCATTTTTTTGAAAATAAATTTATTTATAGATAATTTTATTATTACATGACTTTTAAATATTATTATAAAAGCAAACGAAAGATATCTAAAGATGAAATCTAAAGGAAATCCAAGTAGTGATTCTTTAAGAATCTCTAGGTAAAAAAATTTATCTAAAATATCATCAATGTATTGGAGCATTTAGAATAATTTTTGATAAAAATTTCTCACTTGTTTCCTATAAATGACATAAGAAATGAGTTTTTAGAAAATATTGTTTATTTTTAAGTTATAGATATTATATTTTACAATCTACTTATTAAATATAACTATTGAAGATAAATATGAACTATTGAAGATAGAAGTTTTGAGAATTTCAAGAAGTGATTCTTAAAGATTCTTTAGGTGAGATGATTCCTCTTAATATTACCAAAATATTAGAATATTTTTAGGAAAATTTTAATATGTCAAGTTCTTATTTATTTTTCAAGTATATTAAAAAAATTAAAAATATATTTTTAAATAAAATTAAGGAAACTAAATTTTAAATACTAAAATTAAGATCTTTTTTGTCTAAATTGAAATATAACATATAATTAATTGGTATCGTTTTTAATGGGCGTTATGGGGATGCTAATTTTTCTCTATTCATAATCGATTCTCGAATCCAAATTATTTTATAGACCCAAATTATTTTGTAGACCCAATTTATTAAAAGGATAAATTTTAATAGGTTGTCAATTACACATAACAAAAAAAATTAGTTGTGAATCTTTTTTCATTTTTAAATTAGTCTAACGGATCCCAAAAAGCTGTTACGACAGCTAGTATTTGTTGTTTACTATTTCGTATTTTTGAAAAAACAATGCATTTGAAAGAATAAATAATATCTTTAAAAATATTGTATTTTAATTCAATTTTACAATTAAATGATAGAAAGTATGATTTTAATTACTTTTGTATGAAATAAATATATTTTAATTGATTTTTTTATTGTAACTATTTAGTATAATTTTTATGCAAAAATGATCTCACAGTATTATTATCATCATCATTATTTTTTTGAACTTTCCCAAAATTTTTGCTATGAAATTGTAAGCATTTCCATGAAGGGAAGAATTGCACACAAAAATATATAGGAGAAAATAGAAAAAAGCTATGGGATATATAAGACAGTTTGAATAAATTGTTGAAGATAGGAAAGGGTGGGTAGTGAAGAGGGTGAACTGTGGAGAAAAATAATAGAAGTTGAATTTAAAATTTAATTAAGTTAGTTCATATAATTATTTTTAATATATAATATTTAATAAATTTGAATCATTTATATCATCTTTAAGATATGTTATTGAATAGATTTGAATCTTAATTTTTATAATATATTTTTTATTTTTAAATTACGAACTCTTATTTAATAAAAAAATAAAAAAAAAATTATCACATTGTATAGACTTAACGGGGTACGAATGAGGCTGTGTACAATGCATAAATCGTCTCAACTTCAAAATACATGTACAATTCTCCATGTTTTAGCACAACATATTTTCCATTTAGTTTATATATATATATATAATTTTCATGGACAGATAATATTTATATTATAAAATTGCCAGCAATGCTTCTTACGTGAGTTTGAATTAAGCAATATTTTTATATATCATATAATATTAGTGCTTTTTGTTGTTGTTTGCTGTTATTAACCCATCAAATCCAACATCTTTTGTGGGATTTCTTAGTCAACTCGTGGGTCATTACCGAAGACAGCACGGAAGTTTCGAGGACTTAGAATTTTCACTTTTTTAATAATAATAATAATAATAAATATTAATATTAATATTACGAATAATTTTTAAATTATAATAAAATATTTAAATTATATATTTTTTAATTAAATAAAATATTTAAATAATTATTTATTTATTATTTATCATCATTTAAAATTAATTATATTAAAAATAAATATCACATTAATTAATAAATTTATAATTTAAATATCACATTAAAAATTTTTAAAATTTAAATATTACATTAAATTATTATAATTTAAATGTCATTGATGATATTAACCCATAATAATCTTATAATAATGTCAATATACCAGTTCAAATACAATCAGAACTTGTATCCTACACGCGTGCAAATACATCATCAACCAATTTTTTTTTTCTTTTTCATTGCAAATGCATCAATAAAAATGTTGGCAATTTCTTTTTTAATTTTAAAATAAAACTCGAGAAAGTAGATTGTTTTGTTCTTCACGTTATAACCGCATGTAAGATTTATGTATGCAAAAAACAAATATATTTATATCGAATAGATTTAAAATTTAAAATTTAAAATTTGTAATTTTATTTTTTGTCTTCATTAAAATTTTGTTATATAAAAAAATATAATACTTTAAAAACTTAAACTCCAATTCTCCAAAAGTTAAAGAAAAGTTGGCGTATGTCATTTATCTATATAATTTTAAATTAAAACAAGTCAAAAACTCATCAATCAATTAATTTTTAATTTAAAAAAATTATGGCCAAAAGCTTGGGGATGAAGCTACGTTTTTTGCAAGTTGGATTGTGTGACAAGAATTAAAGAATGAGCATTTTATAATAAAAGTCAAATTACATCTGACAATGTATTTATCTGTACAACCTGGTTTTTGGTTTGGAATAAGATGAATGACGTCATCTCGAAAATGACCTCTGTGTTAGAACCTCACATATTCCAAACAACTTTGCCAATAACTTAAATGAAGGGGAAAGCGAAACATAATCAAATGCACAATGTCATTGTCCAGATTTTATTAGATATTCTTCTATTGATAATGCTCTTTTTTTTGGGGGGTGGGAGGGGGGCAAAATAGTAAAGAGCTATGTTCAAAATTTTTGCTTGAAAATATCCATGTACCGAAACAAAAAGAAAAATAGTACTAGCATCGAAAGAAAAAAAATGATTTGCTATAGAGAAGAAGAAAAACGAAACGCTACAGGAAGTAGTCCAATCCACGTGGTTGGGAAAAAAAAGAGACAACGCTGTTTGGGTGTTTAAATTTCTATGTCACTATCTCTGTCCAAGTCTACTACATATATAAGCAATCCTAGGTTGAAGTTAAGCAATGGTAGTTTGATTTTTGCATCGAGACTTGAAAGATTTTGTGTTTGAGAGAAAAGAGAAAGAAAGCAGAAAGACAAGGAGAACTGAAATCAAAATCCAACACCCAACGGAGAAAATTCTCAAGAATCCTCCTCTTCTTCCCCGTTTAACCCAACCCCCCTATCTTTTTTTCCCATTTGTATACAATTCAAGGTAATGGTTTTCTCTATTTACTACTGCTTTCTTGCAAATGATGGTCTGTTATATTGGCTTTTCATTTGGTTTTCATGAAATAGGTGTTATTAGTTTGTTGTTCTTTGATCATGATGCTACTGTAATGTTTTTTTTTTTCTTCTTGAATGGGGTTTGGCGATTGCTTTTATTTGGTGGTTTTGACAGATCCGGAATCCAGTATTCAAGGTTGTTGATAAGGGATTCTTTATTTGTTTTTGATTGAATGAAATGGTTTTTTTGCATGAGATTTTGAATTTTTTTTTATCTAATTGCTAATGAGTGCAGAATTCGAACGGCTACTTTGCTTCTCTGATTATGTCCTTATTATTTATCAGAAAATGTGAAGAAGAGAAAATTAATTGCTTTTGATGCTAAAAAGGTGGAAGAGTTTTCAAGTTAAAAAAGAGAAAAAAAAAAAACATTTTTTGATGGGTTTTCCCAATATGTGTTCTGGCTTGCTGTATTTTATAATGTTGATAATTTGATATATTTATTTAGCATATAAAACGCCCAACTAAATTCAGTTTGTTTCACAGAAATCAGTGCCCCTTGTTGTCGGATGGGTGTTGTTTTTTCCAGCCCATTTACTAAATGCAATGATGTGGAAAATGGCTTAGAATCTGTCACTGTGAAATCCATTAGTTTTGGAGATGTTGGAGTCAAAACACTTGTTAGATCTATCAATTTCAAAAGTTTAGATTCAGAGCCGGCAATATTAAAATCAGTAGGCTCTGGAAAGATGATATTGGAGACATCTGTTAGCTTTAAAGGGAGAGATTTGGAGAGACTGCTTTCAGCTAAGTCCCCTTCATCAGATAAAACAGAGAATTTGCCCATTAAAGCTGTCAGTTTAAAGAGCAAAGCAATGGATATTCAATCCCAAAAACCAGATACTTTCATAGAGACTCCAATACAATCACCAGTTTTAGATCCCAGCAATCCACAACATGAGGCAGCAGTAAGATTGCAAAAAGTTTACAAGAGCTTTAGAACAAGGAGAAAGCTAGCAGATTGTGCAGTTCTTGTCGAGCAGAGCTGGTGTGTATTATATTTGTATATTGTTCTATAGTAACTTTCTATACAGAAGTTTATTTTTTTCTAATGGAATTATTTGTTGTAATGTAGTTGGAAGCTCTTAGATTTTGCTGAACTGAAGAGGAGTTCTATATCGTTCTTTGATATAGATAAACATGAAACTGCTATTTCGCGTTGGTCAAGGGCTAGAACTAGGGCTGCCAAGGTTGGAAAAGGTTTATCAAAGAATGATAAAGCTCAAAAGCTTGCTTTGCAACACTGGCTTGAGGCAGTAAGTCAATTGCAGTAAAAATGAACTTAGTTTACCTTTTGTTCTTCATTATCTGTTACTGATTCCAGTTTCATGTGTTATTCAGATTGATCCAAGGCATCGCTATGGACACAATTTACACTTTTATTATAATCAATGGCTTCATTCTCAGAGTCAAGAACCCTTTTTTTACTGGTAATTTTCTATAACTGATTGTTTTGGTTCATTAGTAAGACATTTTGATTCTAGGTTCAAGAAATTGAAACTGAAAATGGATTTACTTGTTCTGAGAATGCAGGCTGGATATTGGAGAAGGGAAAGAAGTAAATATAGAAAAATGTCCTAGATCAAAGCTTCAACAGCAGTGCATCAAATACCTCGGTCCGGTGGGTCTTTATTTCTTTTCTTCGCCTAGCTTTATCTGGATTCATATTCAAAATGTTACTGAAACAATTATCCACTATACAGATGGAAAGGATGCCCTACGAAGTAATTGTGGTAGATGGAAAGTTCATATACAAGCAAACAGGAAAGCTTCTCCATACTATTGATGGAATTGGCAATGCTAAGTGGATTTTTGTCCTTAGCGCATCAAAGATCTTGTATGTTGGGAGGAAGAAGAAGGGTACATTTCAACATTCTAGCTTCTTGGCTGGAGGTGCCACTATTGCTGCTGGAAGATTAGTTGTTGATAGTGGTGTCCCTAAAGTATAGCTATGCATAATTTCTTTCATATCTTTTTGGTTTTTACTGGTTAGTACTCTTTACGTTCTAGACAGTTTCTTAACAATAATTACTATTACTCTGTTGAACAGGCAGTTTGGCCTCACAGTGGTCATTATCGTCCTACAGAAGAAAATTTTAATGACTTCATTTTATTTCTAAGGGAGAACAATGTGGATATTACAAATGTCAAGGTAAAAAAAAAGAAAGAAAAAAATGTATTAAATGCTTTGAGTATCATTTTTTGCAAATTGAAAAGAATATGCTGACAATGCTTCTTTTGTTGCATTCAGATGACTCCGGTGGATGAGGAAGAAAACTTGGTTGGCAAACAAAGAAGTAGTAACCATCTTAGACGCAACTCATCTGAAGAGGACTTTATCTTAGAGGCTGAAGAGATCAGTGTCAAAGACTCGATCAAAAAGGTAGTTGATTCTAGGGAACAAGAAACTAGTGCAACCCCTGAACACCCTAAGTCAAGGAGGCTCCAAAGCCTAAGAACAAAACTGACTAATCTTGAAATACCAAAAAGAACCGAACTGTTTGAGATGTCAAATGGTGACCATGGAGCCGATGTGCCAAGTTGCAATGACAATTTGATGGATTCTTCTTTGGAGTATGGGTATGAGACAGAAAAAGAAGCCAATGCTTCAAAACTGGATTCAATGGTTCCAAAAGAAAAGATTGATGAAAATCATGTAGACAATGAGGTAGAAGACATTCCTGATGAATCGATCCTTCAAAGGATTAACTCTAAAAAGGTAATGAAATCATATCAACTAGGGAGGCAGTTGTCAAGCCCGTGGACTACAGGAGCAGGACCCCGGATTGGTTGTGTAAGGGACTACCCCTCAGAACTCCAATTCCGTGCTTTGGAGCAAGTGAACTTGTCTCCAAGAAATGCTAGCTACTCAAAATCATACTTTTCTCCTCGGTCTACAAGTAGCCTGAGTCCAAAAGTTTCCACACCAGCAGTTGCTAGTGAAGAAATGAGAACCCTAAGTTTACCTGTGCTCAAGGAAAATTTATTGCAGAGAAGCATCCATTCCAGAATGCAGTGCCCCCCAATATTAAAATGAACACTTGTAGCTGACATACCAGAGTCAAGAGTACATTCCCAGTTAGTTCATTCTTTTAGTGTGAATAGAGAAGAAGATATAGGACTTCTTTATCACTCTTTTGAAATCAGATTCTTACGTACACATTTTTTGATTTGTTCATCTTGTATCATAAGATGACATGATAATTGTAGGAATTTTGTGTTTAATGCCCTTTTAGTACAAAAGGAAAAGAATTTACTTTTTTGGCAAGTAGCTTTAAAGTTGTAAGTTTCATTGGATTTTCAACAAGTTTTCTACTTTAATTTTCACAAGCTTTGTCCCTTTCACCTCCTCCCCCCCCCCCCTAGTGAAAAATTAATAGAAAGAGCAACAAACCACCAGCAGCAGCAGCTATGATCTTCTCTGTCATTGCAGTTTCGTAAGCTAATGTCTAATTTCTCTCTTGTCCAGGAGCCTCATTATAGTTTCTAATTTCTACCCAATGGTAGCTGCATTTCTTGTATGATCCTTCAGGAATTAGAATGCCCCCAAAGGAAAGGACTCCTGCTGGATTTGTTGGCCTTGAAGGTGACAAGTAAATACTTGTAAGGACTATCATTTTAATAGTTCCAGTAACAATTATGGGCTTTCTTACCATTGAGATGTTTGTGTTTTGTAAATTTATCGGAGACAACAAACTAAAGCTCAAGAAAGAATCTCTTTTCCCATTTGAAAAGGACACTCAAATGAATCATCATTACAGTTTTCTCATCAGAGTATCTTTTGAAGAGATAAAACAGCTAACTGGTAACTTTACAAACCAGCTTGGGCCCCCTGTTTACAAAGGTGTCTGGTACATGAGTATGTCTCAAATGGCTCTTTGGACAAGTTGCTGTTTGACATGGAGCCAAGAAGGACTGAACCGAATTGGCAACAGAGGCTTGACATCACGAGCCCTTGCATATTTGCACACACAGTGTCAAACATGCGTAGCTGCTTATGGGAACTCGAAGCATGAAAACATTTTGCTTGATGAAAAATATGTTCCATAGCTTCAGATTTTGGGCTCAGGAGCCACTCGGAAAGGGAGCGGCTTCGTCTTCAGAGTCTCCGGCAGAAAGATATATTTTCATGTTCGGGGAGATGCTACTGCAAATCGTTACATGTGAAAGGGACATTCTTGGCAGTAATATGCATTCACTTGTTACCATGATTAATGAAGAACATAAATTGGAGGACTACTTTGAATCTGAAAAATTAGAAAGAGCTGTAAAAATAGCTCTTTGCTGTATGCAAAACCAACCATTTTTACAGCCTTCCATTGGTGAAGTGGTAAAGTATTGGTAGCTTCACTTTCCTTGGATAGGCGCCCATTAAATTTTGCTTTTAAGCAGGGCCACAATCGACTGATATTGAAGTAGATTCCTGGAAGAAGACTAACTTTGATTATGAAGAAATGTAGTTGAACAAACTAATTCTACCAGAAAAGAGGCTTTTATCACGCAATTTTTTCTCAATAAAAGCTATAAATCTGTTAATAATAATTTTATCGATGGAATTTATCAATGAAAAAATTTGTCAATATTAAGTGAGTAATTCTATTCCATTGATAATAGTTTTATTGATAGAATTTTTTGACAAAAAAATCCATCAATATTAAGTAAATTGATAAATCTATTTCGTCGGTAATTTAAAAAAATTCATTGATAATTAATTATGAAAATTTTCATAAATAAAAAAATTTTCAAAATTAATAATTTAATTAAATTAATTCATAAATTTCGTTGATAATTCATGGACCATCTACCAACAAATAAAAAAAAATCATCAATAATTATCAAATTTTGGCATTTATTTTTTGTTGGATTAAAGGTTGCATCACTTAATCACAAGTACAATAATGCCGGAAATTAATTGATAATAACTCTATATTTCAATAAAATAAAGTACAACGACTTATATGGACTCTAGCACCTCCTGTTCACTAACGAATTTTACAAGTACTTAAATATAACTTAAAAATTGAAACAATGTCCAGTAGCATTAAGAAAATCCAAACTAAGATACAAGACTAAAAAAAATTGTGTAATTCTTAAAATGAACTGCTAAAGGACAAGTGCCAAAGTAGGGCTTGGGCGTTGGAACCAGCCTAATTATCATGCTACATGCATTCTAAACACCTATAGGATAGGCTGCTTCCAGCATGCATTTGTCACCAATATCTTTTGCACTGATACCAATCCACTCCCTAAAGCTCATTGTAACAAATCCATTTCGTAGTTATTCTTCACTGATAAACACAGATATGGATGAGAAACCTGGTATATCCTTGTCCATATTGGTTATTGATTAGATTGTTTACTGCAATTTAAATTACCTCCTCGTTCGAATTGGTTCTGGCAGTGAGAATAATAGAAGTTGTTGTTTGGACAGAAGAACTCCGATAATCAACCCCACCAAATTCCCTGAAAAGTGTCAAAATACATACACAATTTACTTGTTAGTAGGGAAAAATGTACAAGAGATTTGGAGAGAATGGGCAGAGAATCAACTCACTGCTACTTCTAAACTAGTTTTAAAGCCGATAACACGTCCAATTTAGGAAAACAGAGATGGCAAGCAGTGGAGTCTTAAGTCTGAAAACGCTTCTATAACTGTTGCAGTCCGAAAATCCAATAGCTTAGATAAATTAAAAAAAAATCAAAATAGAAAATCGCTACAAATATTTTTTGATTAGATGTGATTGATTATCTAAAAAAAATTATCTTTTTAATAAAATTTAAATATTATTAAATTTTATTAAAAATATAAGTCTACCGAAAAATAAGATTGAAATCAAGAGAATGTATGAAAAAAAGTAGCACCCCCAGATGCACGTTTTAAACATGATACCATTTAATCACATATTATCCTTTAATATTGATAAAATGGTATTTAAAAATAATTTCTTAAATTTCATTTACTATCACAAAACTCTTTTTCACCATTTTTTAAAATATTTTATTTAAAAATAAAATAAAAATCTTTAGTTTCGAAAGTATTTTTAAATTCCCCACTAATAAATCACTAAGGTTAAATTCACATACACCTCAACTATTATAATTTTTTCAATTGCCATTTACAGGCCCATGACACATGCTTCATACTTTACCACATTATTAGTGCAATTAAAATTTAGCCTTGCAGTAGTAGAAAAGTAATTTTCATCTAGGGATATCAATGTTGCTCTAATGCTATGCCCCAAAGCATTGGATGCCTTATCAAAGAATAGTTTTCACAATTTCTCTATGGATTCTTCAATTTCAATTTGCAAGATAGCCATCAAGTTTTTAACCAGGAAATCAAACTTCATAAGCTCATAATCATCAGTAGCACAGTCAAGAAAAAAGTCAATTATCGCACTTCCTTTAATGGCTTTTGATGCTTTATACACAATATCGTACCTACAGAGCATAACCTACCATCTTGCTATTCTCCTTGATAGGGATGGTGTCTCAAAAATGTACTTGAGAGAATCCAATTATGACACAAGTCAAATCATGTCATAAAGCATATACTATTAAAGTTGTAAGTAGTCCAAACCAATGCACAATACATTTTCTCCAACTGGAATACTTAACTTTATAGCCAAAGAACGTTTTACTTAAATAATAAATGGCTTGCTCATTTCTACTTGTTTCATCAATGCAAACCCCATCAAGTTCTCATGTACCATTAGATACAAAATCAATGGTCTCCCTTTAATTGGTGATACCAACACTGGTGGCGATGGGTTCAACAAATACTCCTTAATCCTTTCAAAGGCATCTTGACATTCTTCATTCTACTGACTAAGATCGATTTTTTGAAACAGCTTAAAAATGAGATCACATTTTCAAGTGACCTGAAAGATAAAACAGAAGATATAATTCAACCTTCCCCAAAAAACTTATTTCTTTTTGTGTATGCGGAAAAGACAAGCTTTTAATGACACAAATCTTATATAGATCCACTTAATTCCTCTTTTGCTAACTACAAATCCCCGTAATTTTCCTATCCTTAACTCTAAATGTGCACTTAGTTGGATTTAGATCGAGTTGGTACTTTCGTAACCTTTCACAAAGCTTTCTAAGGTTAACAACATGGTCCTTTACTTCATGAGATTTCATAATCATATCATTAATAAAATATTAATGCATGCAAGATATATATATATATATATGAACATAATCATATATACTTGTTTAACGAAAATGAAAGCGAACTTGGCTTGAATTACTGGTTGTTGAATAAGATCATAATACAAAAATTATTCATTCCCACAACATAAGTCCTTCAACACACCGAAAAAAGAATTCCTCTTAAAAGTTAGAATGCTTGCCCAATTGCTCTATCTTCTTTTCTTAATCTTTTTTTTTTGTTTTGATGTTGTAAGCCAACCTTCCTCTTTTGCTTTTTTGTTTTTATAATGGCCTAATGTTATTATTTAAGTTATGAAAAAATGGGTGGAAAATGTAACATAAACTGCACAAGGTAGTTTCTTGCATTAAAAAACAACAAAATTGCCCAATGGTAATTCAATCTTTTACACAAGAAAACTACCTAAAGACAGTTACTTTATGTAGAGATTAGGCCATCCATTATGGGATGACCCCATCTATTATTTCTTTCATCTCCCACTTGCATAGAATGGGTGTCAAACTCTTATAATCTTAAGAACATTTTTTTTATTCTTTGTATCGAGTTCATATAAGGAAATAAACTGTGTGACAACATACTTCGAGAGTTTAGTTACTATACAACAATTGGTACATATAGCAACTCATAATCACATCCAATCACTTATACAACTGTTAGGTATGTATAGTAATCTTAAGTACAAATAGAGTAAGTATGCAACACTTTAGACCCATTTAGTCACATTTCAAGTTTCTCATGATCTTATCTCTCTTTTATCATATTACATGATATAATTGTCTATTCATAATTATGTTCGAAGTTTCAAACATAATTGGTCAACCTATGAATATAACCAAATGTGACACTAGAATGATCTTCATTTCTTTTATAATGTCTCTATTTCAATTCAACTGTTATCTAGATATGTCCCATTAGATTGAATCATACATGACCATTGATACAATCGAAAATAACTAACATTGAATTAAAACTTTAAGAAACAATCGAAAGTCTTTGAGGGTATTAAATATGAAATCCTTCAATCTCAAAGGTATTAGAAACAAGAAGCAGAGATCTATTTTTCTATTACCCTTGTTGATTGAACAATGCACATGTGGTATGAAATACATGTTACGGTATTACTCTC